GATGAGAGAATCATGTTGAATACTTGTACTTCATCATCTACCTGGTATTTGTTTTTAATTTTATAATTGGTATGAACGTGAGTACTTACGTATTTCTTAAATTTCAGCCAATTGGTGTTTTGAGTTGTAAGTCTTTGTGGACCTTGAATTAGTTGGGGTTATTCATAAACTATTAGGAAGATTGGAGAATGATCCGATGATAATTCATAACTTGTGTACACCGAAATGGAGTCACGACGAATACCCTTCGTTACAGCGAAATCAATAAGATCTGGGATTTTGTTGTTGTCTGATGGCCAATACGTAGGATGCCCGGGTGATGCGACATCTAGATTGTTGTTCTTGTTTGTTACCACGTTAAAGAGTTTTTGACCTTTAGGATTGCAGAGCCGAGAGCCCCAAAAAGTGTGTTTTGCATTGTAGTCTCCTGCAGCAATGAATTTTTCTCCCAAAGTTTTAAAGAATTCAAGGTACTGCATTTCGTTTAGTATAAAGCGAGGGGGGCAATACACTGCTGATAGGGTAAGATTGTAGGTAAAGCATTGTATGCACACTGAAGTAGCTTGAAGGAAATTTTCAGCACATGAGCTCACAAAATAGTGTTTTAATTTTCTTCGGACTAAGATTCCCGTACCTCCATGTGCTTTGCCGTCAGGATGATTTGTTTTGTAAAATATATAATTCGGTATAAAAAAGTAGTTTTTATTAGTTAAGTGAGTTTCAGATATGAGCATCACATCAACTTTATTTTGGTTTAAAAAATTAAAAATTTCTAATTTATGTTGGCTTATGCCGTTTGCATTCCATGCACATATTTTTATGCTACTCATTACCTGACTAAAATCGCTGACATCAATTGCTATTGCATTTGTATTATTTGGTTGAACATAGTTTGCATGGTTTGCATGAACTGTGAAAACATCATTTCAAAATTACTGCTTGGAGCTTGTTGTACTGGAGTTTGTTGAACTGGGACTTGTTGTTCCTGCTGGGCATTTAACTTTAATACATTCGCATATGTGACGCCTTGAATCGCCCTGTTTGAAGAAGAATCATTGGAGACAGCAGTGTTTGTTGAGAACATATAATTTTTGGGGTCCCGGAGGGCTTGTCTTTTGTAGAGTAGACTTTGTTTAAGATGTTGATAGACTTGACACCCTCTGTAATTTGCGGTATGGTTACCATTGCAGTTACTACATTTTACTACCTTTTTGTCTTTATTATCTTTTTTTTACATTCTGAAGTATGGTGAAGTTCACCACACACAACACACATCGGGCACAGCGTACAATAGGTTTTTGTATGGCCAAACTCCTGGCAGTTGGCGCATTGTACAGGTCCATTCCGTGGGTGAGGGGGTTCCACAGAAACTCTATAGTTTAACAAGTACCTTAATTTGTAGATTGGATGATCTTCATTCTTCTTTAGTTTTGTGACATTTGGCAGCAGCTCAACCTTATACATTGGTTGTGGAATTTTGTCCCTGTTATTTATATTAATAACTGACTTGGCATGAAATCCTAGCACACCAAGAGCTTCTTTTAACTCATCAGTGTTAACGTTAGGATCGATTCCTTTTATGACCACAGAAACACCCTTACTGCTTTTAAGTTGGTACGTGTAGTAGTTCCTATTTTTAGCTTGTAGGTCTCTTACAACGTCACGATAGTTTGCTTCGTTGTCTACTTGAATTTTAGTTTCGTGCACATTACCTTTTGTAAGAGGTACAATATAGAAATTTTTATTTCCTACCAGTTGAGCTAAGTACTCAATAAGTACTTTTGAGCTACGCTCGCGCAAATAAATTGGTGGGGGTTTGAGTGTTTCAGTTGTGGGTTTACTGCTAGTACTTGGTTCATTCTCATTAGCCAGCAAGGAGAAACGATTGTTTCTGAGTGGGGTTGTTGAGGTTTGATCTTCTTGGAATTTGGTGACTTTGTTCACTTTTGGCTTTTCAGGAGTACGCTTTCTTTTGCTCATTATGTTCACATAGCGATCCATACCTGTCTGCATTGCCTGTTGTCTTATTTTAATTTCATCTTTTCTTTGCCTAGTGTTATTTTTGTTGTTTATTGGAGTAGCGTTTGAGCCTGCAGTTGCCTTTTGAGTACTTGCATTGAATCCGTTAACGCGGAGTGTTACATTTTCTTCATTGTATAGGTTTTCAAGCTGCTGTTGAAGCTGGCATATTTGTTGCTGTAAATACTTTGCTTGAGCTACTTTTGGTGTTTCCCTGTTTGGAACACCTGAAGTCGTGTTGGTTAATGGTTCTTTCGAGATGCTTTTTGTTCCATACATTATTGGAACTTGTTCTTCGATTGGTAAATTGTTCTTTAAATTGTCTTTTTTATTATTATTTAATTTAATTTTGTTTGCAATTGCTATTTCACTAGCTATTATTGATACATTTGTTTCAGTTGCTGGTTTATTTAGAGATTTGATTGCAGAATGATCATTTGTTATAGCGTCTTCTGAATTTATCATTATATAGCCATTTACGCCATTTTCACTAACCCGTCTTATTCTTTCACAATCGGTCATACAGTGTTTAGTGATGTATTAACAGTTCTATATCTAATAAAATCAATAAGATTTAAAATATTTATTACTATTTAAAGCGTCCTTTCGAGTATTTATTAGTTTTATTTATTTAGCATAAGTTAACAAGTTAACTACACAATTTACACGATCACTCGAATTACGATATCGTGAGTTGCAATTTGTACAAATTTTTTTTTTTTTGTTCTATTTCCAACACTTTTATTGTTTTTTATTTTAAGCTTTAGAGCTTAATTTGCTGTCTCTATCAGCTGTTTATAGAAGTGTGTGAAATAAACAAATTCAAAAACAAAAGAATTTTGCAAATAAATTCACTTTTTTGCATATCAACAATATAAATATATTAATAATTTAATTTTTGACTTTAAGTCGGGCACTAATATTTTTATAAATTTTGTAAGGAGTCACTGTCTCTATTATTGGAGATAAAAATTTTAAATTACTTTGCACGTTTTGCACTTGAAAAATATCAAAAATACGCAGTGATATTATTTTGCGCGCGCACATAACAAAGTCAATTCAAAAAGGGTGCATATTTATTAATATAAATACCAAATTAAATTTAATAGAAAATATCTCTGTAGATACTATGTAGGTATAATGGCAAAGCTAGCGACGTTAGCGATGATTCTTAAAGTGAGTGAAATTATTTTATATGTTGCGTGTTAAACATAGTGTATTGTGATGTGTAACTAAAATGTCTTTTGAAGTTACTAGTATAGTGTTGGTGTTGTTGCTTGCTTGTTGTTATATTGACACTATGTAGGTTGGAAATATGTGAATATTTCTTTCCTTACAATAACAAAAATAGCTAGTGAAATTGACACCGCTAATAAAATGAAATCAATCAATAATAAAAACGAAAATTTAAAATATAGTTATTCAAACCTACACGCAACAATATTAAATGAAACTAACATAAGCACACGACAGGCACCAATCATACATTGAATCAAACCTCTAATAGATCTATTAAACAAACATGCGCTTAATCAATTCAACTTAAAAGTATTAAATCTAAGTCAAGTAAGAGTTCAACCTACTACATCTGATTCTTACATCAGATGTAAAACAGTAGAAGCTCAAAAATACAGAATTCTACACTTACAAACCGAAAATTGAGCGAAACATTAGTCATATTAAAAAATTTGCATCACTCAACCGATATTGATGAAATCAAAAACGCACTTCTGGAGCTTGAATATACGACTGCATATGTTTGGAACATTAAACGTAGAAGGCCTGGAGAACCTCTTCCCATGTTTATTATCGAACTTGCTCCAAACCTAAACAATAAGGATATTTATTTGATTAACAAACTCTTGTTAATTTACTTTACGCTACAGATATATTGGAACCACCTCACCCGAAACGCGAAGTCCCTCAATGTCCAAACTGCCAGCAGTATGGGCACACAAAAGGATACTGTCACCGCAAACCTTAGTGTATCAAGTGCACTAGAAATCAGATCCAGTGATGTCAAATGTGTTTTATGTGAGGGAAATAATCCTGCCAACTACAAAGGAAGTCAAATATACAAAAACATGCAAAAAAAATGTGTCCCCAAGTAAGGCCTAAGGCCTTCTGGAAGCAGAAATACTGCATCTACCAGTCGGTATGTTGCCTCTTCTGTCACGGCCAAAAGCAGTGACCAGTCAGAACCTAAATCCACAAGGAGAATTCCACCCTCTAAAAAGGCCCATAACGACCGCCGTATGGCTACACGAAAAAACCAAGAGGTTACAATGTACTGGTACGACCGTACAGTGAGGTTGCGAATGACAATCTCATTATAGGTGTCCTGGATAGGAGTGCCGAGGAGGGGAGAATCCCCAAAGACAAATGGAAATGGGTGTCGGCCGCGCTGGTAGACATCTTCCTCCAAGTTTTGGAAGAAAACCCAGGACCTGCTACCTCCTGCGAAGACGCGGGCTGGCACCAAGGACAAGTAAAATTGGTAGCTTGCAAGGATGCGAGATCGGTTGCCTTGTACAAGGCAGCTGTCTCTAAAGTAGGAGAGATCTGGCCTGGAGCCAGACTTGAAGCGGTAGACAAGAAGGATATTCCATCTCGTCCTAGGGCCAGGGTTTGGATTCCAACTAAACAAACTGACCCGAAGCAAATTCTGAAAATAATCAGGATCTGCAACCCCAACCTTCCAACTGGAAATTGGAAGGTGGTAAAATTAGAGGAGCCTGTTGGACCGACCAAACAAGCTGTCCTTGTATTAAATGCGGAGTCATTGAAACCGCTCTCCGAAGCTAAATACGTAATCTTCTATGGCTTCGAGAAACTAAATCTCAAGGTCTATCGTACCGATGCCACGGAAGAACCGGAGAAGATTACGTCTGATCAGCCCTTGCTGGAGGAACCAGCTAAGAACCAATGCTAAGACAGCAGAGTTGTGAGGAAACACAGAGTGAAGACCTCCCAGATCAAATGGAGGTGGACTCGCTCTCTCTGATGTCTGAAGACAAATCGGATGCGGGCTCGGTGACCAGTCTGGGCAACCTATTCGATGAGAGTGGGCTCCTGGACTCGGATGACGAAGCCGATAAAACGGTGGTAGAGGTTCAAGTACCTGATGAAGGTGCTTCAAATTAATCTCCACCACTCTAAAGCTGCTTCAGCAAACCTTCTAATCCACCTTGCACAGGGTGGAGCCGATATTGTTCTGATTCAGGAACCATGGATACTGGAAAACCGGATCTGTGGAATCGGAACAAATGACTATAAACTTATCAGCAACACAGACTCAGGTAGACCTAGATCATGTATGTTAGTTAAAAAGTACATTAATTGTTTCCTTTTGAATAATTTTAGTGATGACGACCAGACTAGTGCTGTTCACATTATTCGAAGTTTTTAAAAATTCGAAGTTCTTCGAATATTCGAATATTCGCATTTCAACGAAGTCTTCGAAGTTGGAAAAAACTTCGAAGTTTTTGTGAATTTTTGTTCTCGAAGTCTTCGAAGTTTAAATGTAGTGAAAAACTTCGAAGACTTCGTAAGCAAAAGGTGAAGTGAGAGCGCACAATGCAAACAAACGTGCATCACACAAATTATTTGAGGGATGAAAGCGTTTGCTTTGTTTGTACGGTTTTATGTTTTTTGTTGTTATTCTATGCAGAAAATTAAAAACATGTTTTTTTGTTTTATTTTATTACATAAAATTTATTTTATTATTTTATTATTAAATATGTATTATAATATATATTATTTTTAAATATGTTATTATTAAATATTTTTTATATTAAATAAAAAATTCACATTTTAAATAACTTATATTTATTATTTATATTTAAAAAATTATATGTATTTATGAAAATTTTTAATATAATATAAAATACATGAAAATTTGATGGAATTTCTTTTATACAATTTTGCTTATACACTAATTTACATTTTATTTAAATACTTCCTTATAATATTATGTATTTCTTTTCCTAGAATAAGGGATTTAAAAATTTTCCATAAACAGTAAAATAACTGTAACTACAACAAAACATTCAAAATTTTATAATGCAAAAATAAATTTGCGCTTACCTGCGTGATCATCACAGCTCATACAGGTCAAATAATTAGGCATTAATGAGCGAAACTCATTTTTCCATAACTAATTTTCAAGGTTTTAATTTGTGATTTTCTTTTTAAAGGAAAATGAAAATTTTTATAAAATTCCATTACTAATAAAATCCATCAATATCAATATTTTCATATTATTACGTATATATTTTATATTATATTAAAAATTTTCATAAATATAATTTTTTAAATATAAATAATAAATATAAGTTATTTAAAATGTGAATTTTTTATTTAATATAAAAAATATTTAATAATAACATATTTAAAAATAATATATATTATAATACATATTTTATAATAAAATAAATTTTATGTAATAAAATAAAACAAAAAAACATGTTTTTAATTTTCTGCATAGAATAACAACAAAAAACATAAAACCGTACAAACAAAGCAAACGCTTTCATCCCTCAAATAATTTGTGTGATGCACGTTTGTTTGCATTGTGCGCTCTCACTTCACCTTTTGCTTACGAAGTCTTCGAAGTCTTCGAAGTTTTTCACTACATTTAAACTTCGAAGACTTCGAGAACAAAAATTCACAAAAACTTCGAAGTTTTTTTCAACTTCGAAGACTTCGTTTACTATTCGAATATTCGAATTTCTTCGAATACTTCGTAAATTCGAATATGAACAGCACTAGACCAGACTGCAGTGAGTTTGGAAATCGACGGCAAAACCGTATGGGTGGTGTCATCATACATGGCCCACGACCATATAGGAAATCCACCACCGGAAATACTTAAGCAGCTCGTGATAACAGCAGCAGAAAGAATGACTGGTGTTGTGATTGGAGCCGATGCAAATGCTCATCACACAATCTGGGGAAGCTCGGACATAAATGAAAGAGGTGAGTCGTTATTCGATTTTATTCTAGATTATAATCTTCATATATGCAATACAGGAGTAGAACCTACTTTTATTATTGCAGGCAGAAAAGAAGTTTTAGATATTACATTAACTGTTGAAAACACAGATCTTGAGATTAAGGATTGAAGAGTTCTTGATGAACACTCATTCTCTGACCATCGTTATATTCAATTCTATATAAATCTACAATGTCCAGTTAAGAAACCTTATCGGAATTACCTTAATACCAACTGGAGTAGATATCGAACCAATTTACTAAATCTACTTCCTCTATATCCTATTGAAGAAGTAGAGACTCCTCAATCGCTAGATAACGTTGTGGAAACCTTCACAAAAGCTTGCAACATAGCCTTGGACCGTTCTTGCCCGCTAAAATCACAGAGGGGAAAGAAAAAGCCATTGTGGTGGTCCGAGGAAATAAGAGATCTTAGAAAATCAAGCAGAAACTTGTTTAACAAGGCCAAGAGAAGTAATCTTAACACTGACTGGGACATCTACAAAGTCAGTCTAAAAATATATAAAAATGAAATAAAAAGAGCCAAAACACGCTCCTGGAAAGCCTTCTGTGAAAGCGTGGAGGGTTGTCAAGGAACAGCAAGGTTTAGGCGCATTCTCTCGAAGAAACCCTCTAATCTAGTCTACTTAAAAGACGAGGTCAATGGGTGGACACATAGCAGCGAAGAATCGGCGGCATTGTTACTGAATATACATTTCCCAGATAGTGACATACCAAATAACCTTGGAATAAACCAGGGGTCTACATGTGACTCATCTGTGGTGAATAATATTGTCACCAGAAGAAAAATTAAATGGAATATAGATAGCTTTCTACCATACAAATCACCGGGCCTGGATGGAATTATACCAGCCCAACTTCATGAAACAAGGGACATCTCTTGCAACTGGCTCACACCAATCTTTAAAGGTTGTCTTTCCTTAGGGCATATACCAGAGAAATGGAAATTGACAAAGGTCGTTTTTATTCCTAAAGCTGGCAAAAGCTCCCATATTACGCCTAAAGATTTTAGACCGATTAGTCTATCCTCTTTCCTCTTAAAAACTTTAGAAAGGCTTTTGGAGCATTTCATTAGGAAAGAGATACCAGATGAAAGGCTTTCAAAATCACAACATGCGTACTGTAAAGGAACTGGGATGATTGAAAACTCAATACAGCATAAAGAATACTCCTTTTGCGCTTTTCTTGATGTGAAAGGGGCTTTCAACAACATCCTTCCTCAAGTAATCGTCAACTCGTTAAGAAAACTAGGAATTGACAATAGAGTAATCGAAGTCATTACCCAACTGCTGGTTGATAGGACAATCGTAGCGCAGTGGAGGGGAACGCTAGTAACTAAGAAAGTTAATAGGGGGACTCCACAAGGAGGAGTACTTTCCCCCCTCTTATGGCTAACTGCAGTTAATGATCTTCTTGTTGATCTAGATAGCGCAGGTTGTCAGGTGGTCGCGTACGCGGATGATCTTTCCTTGATTGCAAGGGGAAAATTTCTGAGTACAATTAGTGAGGTAATGCAGGGTAATCTAAATAAAGTATCCCAATGGGCCCATTGTAGCGGATTATCAATAAATCCAACCAAAACAGAACTAGTGCTCTTTTCTAGGAAATATAAAATTCCGGAATTCACACTACCTATTCTAGGAAGTCAAACTCTGACTCTGAATGATAAAGCCAAATATTTAGGTCTTATAATTGACAGAAAACTGAATTGGGGACCAAATGTTGTTGCACGTACCCAAAAAGCTATGGTTGCCTTTTACTGTTGTAGAGGCGCTATAGGCAAAAGATGGGGACTCTCACCGAAGTCCATTTTATGGATATATAATGTGGTGGTAAAACCAATTCTCTTGTATGGAGTGTTATTTTGGAGAAATACTCTGAATAGGTCAACACTATGCAAGAAATTGGAAAAGGTTCAAAGGACTGCACTGATCACATTAAGCGGAGCGTTAAAATCAACGCCGTCACTTGCCCTGAATGTTATCTTCAATATCTTACCTATCGACATCGCGGCGAAAGGCGAGGTAGCTGGGGCAGCTTTACGTATAAGAGAACTAGGAATTGGAAGCAGTTGTGGATGAATGCAAGACTCCATCCTCAGAGAAATTGATTTCATTCCGGATATAACAGACTACTGTACTACAATTACAATTGTGGACAGAAATCTTGAATTATTTATTCCTTCTAGGGAGACATGGGAAAACTACTCTGTAAAGAGTGATAATCGCCTTAACTTCTTTACAGATGGCTCAAAGTTAGATGGACAAGTAGGAGGAGGAGTATACTGCCCTGAACTAGATCTCAGTATGAGTTTCAGGCTACCGGATCACTGCAGCGTTTTTCAAGCTGAAGTATCTGCTATATTGGAAGTTTCAGATTGGCTGAAACACAATGTCTCTTCCGTTAAATTTATAAACATATTTACTGACAGCCAGGCAGCTATAAAATCCTTAAACTCGTCAACCTTCAACTCGAGGTTAGTACTGAATTGTCTTACATCATTTATGGTGATGGCTGAATATTTTCGGATACGAATTATTTGGGTCCCTGGACATAGGGACATCCAAGGCAACTGTATAGCAGATGAATTAGCAAGACATGGTACGACAGCACAAATTCTTCTGGAAAAAGAAAGTGTGGGTATACCAGTTGCTTCTTGTCGGCACCGAATAAAATTATGGACATACCAAATGTTTGAAAGAAGATGGTCAACAGTAACCAACTGCATAAAAACCAAGGAATTTTGGCCAAAAATAAGTAAGAAAAAATCGGGGGAATTAATCAATCTATCCCGAGCAAATTTATCCAGGATAGTGGGAATTATTACGGGACACTGCCCGTTGGGAGGACATGCCGTGAGACTCAACATCAGGACCTCCTTACATTGTAGACATTGCATGGAGGATGATGAAGAGGAATCACCAACACACCTTCTGCTACAGTGTCCTGCCTTCGCAAGACATAGACTATCCTACTTAGGGTCGCACTTTTTCTATTCATTAAGAGAGCTAGATTCTATTTCCATAGCTCGTGTCAATGGCTTTGTAGCCAATACCAAGTGGTTATAGGGACAGGTGTCAAATTCTTAGGGTATCACAATGGACCTCATGGTCTAAGTGAGTCTTCGGACGGCCCCAGTAACCTAACCTAACCTAACCTAAGGCCTAAGGCACCGGAACTTCAAATTCAAGAAAATCCACTTCCTTTTTTAAACAAAAATCACATCAAGAATTCTCATCCATCACAAATTTTCGCAAAAATAGTGAAGTCAGACATGAGTAGCGAAACAGAGCAAAGCTTTTACCAATTTCAAAAAATTTTGTGGAAGAATTCCGTGAGATGACAACGCTGTTGAAGCAAATGATGCAACAATCGTAGTAATGACCAATTTACTAATCAACTTGACGACTAAACAAAATTCTTAATTTAGTCGTAGTTATATGGAACGCCAATGGTCTATCAAAACATACTGTCGAAATAAAAGAATTCTTAAAAATAAACCAGGTCGACATAATGCTGGTATCAGAAACCCATTTTACGACGCGTAGTTTCTTTAAAATTCCGAACTAGGAACTTTATCACAGAATGCATCCCAATGATAAAGGAAATGGTGGCTCTGCGATCCTCATAAGGAAATTGATAAAACATTATGAAGTAAAACCATATTGCTCGAATGAAATTCAGGCAACAATCATTGTAGTACAAACTAAAGAAGGTGATATGACTTTCTCATCACTCTACAACCCATCGCATCACAGTATTTCGAAGAATATGTACATATAATTTTTTCAGTTGCTTGGATCTAGGTTTCTAGTTGGCGGAGATTTTAATGACAAACACTTAAAATGGGGTTCCCCATATCTCCAAAAGGAAGACAACTTTTCGAAGCAATTAATGTGCTCAATCTCTACATAATTTCAACAGGTGAACAGTGAACCCACATACTGGCCAACGGATAGAAGAAAAATACCTGAGTTAATTGATTTTGCAGTATCAAAGGGGGTATGTATCGAGACAACTAACAGTAAGTCCAATTTCAAATTTTCATCTCACCACTCGCCAATAATAATAACTCTAAATGACTTGTAAAATTATGGAAAAATGTATTCTTTATAACAAAAATACTGATTGAAACAGTTATCGTCAACTAATTACAACTGGTCTAAATACCGAAGTCCAGTTGAAAACTGAATTTGATGTGACTGAAGCAGTAGAACATTTTAACTCATGTATCCAATGGGAATTAACTCCTCCGTTTTCGAAAAGTGTTAAACAAGAATATCCATTTAACATTAGATACCTAATCAAAGAAAAGCGTAGGATGAGAAAACATTGGCAAAAGATGAGATTCCCTGCGGATAAAACTCGCTTATAGGGACAGTAATCGCATGTCCCTATACCACCAAAACCTAAGTGCTTCATGTAATACAAAATACTCCCTCTGAATAGCCATAAAAGAGAACAACGGACCGATTGCTTATCAACCACTTATACGCAAACTAGACAACTCATGGGCTAAAAGCGATATTGAAAAAGCAGAAACATTCGCGTTACATTTGGATCAGGTCTTTAAACCAAATGATAATCAAAATATGCCAGATATCATGAAACAAAGGATAAATTTTTTACAACAGCCTTACCAGTTAGAACTTCCAATTTAAAGATATTCTTTTAATGGAGTTAGGGATGTAATAGCGAAGTTAAAAGTAAAAAAAGCTCCAGGATAAGATTTGATCACAGGTATGACCCTGCAGCTGCTACCACCAAAAGGATTTATATTTCTCACTTATCTACTTAACGCTGTGATAATAAAAGGGTTTATTCCACCACAGTGGATGATAACGCTAATTTCCATGATACCGAAACCAGGGAAAAACCTAGAAGATGTCAAATCATATCGCCCAATAAGTCTACTTTCGATCCTGTCAAAAGTTATGGAAATCCTGTTTCTAAAGCGCTTACACCGATTATTCAACAAAACAGTTTATGTGCTTATGTAATATTAAAAAAAATAAACTAATAATTTATGAAGTTAAAAAAATAATAATTTGAAATGTAAACTATATCTAAGCTAGTATTCTTTAAAAAGTTAAACATAACAAAAAAATAT